TTGGGTTTTAGCCATACTGAAGAGGCAGTAGAAGAAGGATACAGATATTTTTCTAAGTTATTGCTAGAAAATTCTGTATAGATTGAAAAGTCTTAGCTATAAATAGTGTACTAACCCAAGACTCATGTTTATTTTGATCAATGCAAGTATTTTTAGAGCTTTTAAAAAAAGTCAAAAGTTTGAATCCTCAGACAGCACTATCTGAATTACCTGCGAAACCTGTTGATCTTTTTGAAGTTCTTTGACTTGATTCTGTTGCTGGCAAACTTTAGCTATCGTCTCATCTTCCAGCTGACAAATTTTGGACTTAATGTTTTTCACCACATTTTCCAAATCATTAGCCCGCTGTTCTTGTCGAGACGCCCGACCTCTTTCCTGTCGTATCTCATCTCTAAAAAAAATAAATAAATCCTTGATTTGAATTAAACTCATTTCACTAAATACAGCGAAGGAAGTACAGGCCTGACAAACATTATCTGATGACACTCAATAATAGCCTGTGGCAGCAGGTACGGGAAATATGCTGGTATGGGAAGAAGCAGCAGATGAAGTAACATAAGAGCTCAAAAGGAACTAGGCCAACATTGCTGCATACTGGACAAAAATCTCAGGAAAAAAGGTCTTAGGCCTCGGGTGTGACAAGAGCTCCACCTGGCAGAAGATGGACACTGGTAAGACTTTTGCTTTGCATTAGCAGCTAAGTTCCTTCCACTGCATCTTACCTAAGGTAACGATTAGCCTCCATAAGCCCCTGCATCATTTTTTGCTGTCGGTCCGTGTCTTCCACCAGCGTTTTTAATGCAAGTCTTATTCCTAGAGAAGACTGACTGTCTAAGACAATCATATCTGGAGATACATAAAATAAGCAAAGTCATAATGAAAGGCTTTTAATAGCTTAAGAAGATCGCATCTCTGCTACCATTTGGAAGTGACGGCTTTAGAGATGCCTTACGAATGCAGGCTTACTATTTCCAAATACAAAGACATATAAAATTAGCATTTCCTCACCTGATATATTTCTGCAGCTTTGGGGGGCAGCAAGACTCACCGGTTTCAACCCACGACGCATTAATAGCTTGTTTAAGTTCTCCCATTCTGCCTTCTCCTGCTGCAGTTGGGAGAAGAGGAAGAAGAGACAGAAACCTGAGTTCTCAAGACCAGCTCACGGCCCCCTGTCCTTCCTGCTGTGCAGGCAGTGGAGGATACCAAACGCCCCCAAATAAAAACAAACCAACCCCAAGCCCCCCAGAAGCCCCAGCCACTATAGGAGGACTTGTGAGACCTTCCAACAGGATCTGCAAAAAATACTGGGGAAAAGCGTACTTAACAATATACAGAATACTCAGTTTTCCTGATCGCTATTAGAAGGAGAAATACGTGCAACGAGCAAAATGTACCTTTTTAAAAAAGCCAGCCAACCGGCCCTCGGGTAACCAGCGCACCGGGGGTGCAGTGGGCCTCGACCCCCTGCCCCAGCCCCGCGAGAAGCCCTCAGAGGAGGCGGGCGCCTGCTCTGGGAGTTGACTGTTTGTTTGTTTTCTTTTTGAGCTGTTTTTAACTAACAAGCAATAGCAACGGCCACCTCAGGACCACCACGGTACCTCTGTCATGGCGAGGGACGCCCGCTCTCGGACCGCCGGCGAAGGGGACCGGGCTCCGCGCCGCCGCCCGCAGACGGTCACCGGGACGCAGGAGAGGAAAGGGGTC